GGGAGAGAAGAGGCAGCTGCTGAGCGCGGGCAAGGTGCAGGGCTACGACGGCTACTACGTGCTGTCGGTGGAGCAGTACCCGGAGCTGGCCGACAGCGCCAACAACATCCAGTTCCTGCGGCAGAGCGAGATCGGCAAGAGGTAACCCCTTCCCCGCGGGGACGGGGACAGCCAGCGGGAGGGGGCGCGCGGCCCGCCGAACCCCCCCACGGCTCAGATCTGTCTGTAGCACAATCCGACTGGGACTCTCGGGCGCAGAAGAGCCTTCCTCCAGAATGAGACCGCTATTTTGAAAAAAAAAAAAAAAACATTTCACGGAAAAAAAATTAAAACAAAAAAAAACAGAACCCCTTTTCTGAATGACCTTAAAGGTGATCGGCTTTAAAGAATATGTTTACATATGCATATCGCTGCACTCAGTTGGACTGAAGGTGTGAATAAAAGGAACAAATAACAAGAGGACGGACGAACAGGCCTAACCGTTTTGCCCTGGGCCATCTGGTCCTTTGAGGCCCTGTATCTAAGAGGGTACAAATGCGTACAGTGTCTCCAAATACCACCACGTTGTCGACCTTTGCTTACAAGGAAGTAGTCTCTGCATAGGATGTGATATATATCTGTGTTCATTTTAAAATGTGGGGCGAAATTACAGTTTATAGACAACCATATGCTCTCCCGTGCTGCTTTCTACAAGGACATGGGCACACGTGACTTCTGCTCCGAGGGGAATTCCTGCTGCATTTCCCAATGCTCTGGTGGTTTGCCTCAGGGGCAAAAAAAAAAAACAAAAAACTGGCAAATACCATCCTTGTCCCTGATAAGCAAAGGAAACCCTGATTTTTTGTAAATTATGTGAGACAGTTGTTTATGGATTTTTATATGAATTACAATTTACTGTACATCAAATATTAGTCTCAGAGGAGTTAATTTATGTAAAGTGTTTAAAAAGTTTATACTTAAAAATAAAATGATAAAAACATGTGAACCGTGTGATTTTTTTAAAAAAAAAGGATTGCACCTTTTGTTATCGGTTATAGCTGTACAGTATAAATTATTATATTGTAGAGATATAACGACTTATGCCTATAATGTCCAGAAGTGTTAATATTTTTGTATTAGGTTGAAGAAACGTGCAGCTTTCTATCACTAGATGGGTAGGACAGTGCAATCCGAGGTGGGTGGCGAACCAGAGAACTGCTCCTTCCTTTTCCCTCTCTCTCAGGCCAGTGTCCTCACCACGAGCAACTGAGAGGCACAGTAGAAAACTAAGGCTGGTGGAATGTAACGGAAGATACGAAATTAAAAAAAAAAAAAACACACAGAACAGGCAGGTGTTCCAGCTGCTGTCCCTGGGCCCTAAAGGTCAGTGGGGGGTTGATATAATCTAACCACAGGGTTTTTAAGGTTCCTTCCAGCTCCATTTCTTGATGGAGGTGAGAGACCACATCAGGTGCTCCAGGAAACTGTGAGAAGGAAAGGATCTGATGTGGCCAAGACCATAAACATGTGTCTTAAAATCTAGGAAAGACAGCAAAAACCCAGCAGGTGGGAGAGAGCCAGATGGGGTAGATCGGGGTCATTCTGCTAGTCTTGGGTGTGGACCCCAGGGTCACCAGGAGGGACACCAGAGGCGAGACCAAAGCTCCCGTGCCCAAGCCCACAGGCCCCAGCCACCTCGGGAGCTGATTTGAACAGCTCCTTTGCCCCGTCGGGGGAGCCGGTGGCAGATGCAGCTGGAGGTGAACCGACCGCCGTGCCCTCCTACACAGGTGTGCGTGGGCCCAGCACAGCCGCCGGCTGCACCTCCGTGCCCGCTCGGCCGCTCTCGCAAACCTCTTTCGTGAGCACTAAATTCAGCCACAGAAATATTTTTAGAAAAGATTTCCCAGTTCATTGAGCTATAGTACACACTGTTTCCCTCTCTGTATAATGGTGATAAAATATAGCAAGTGAACATGTCGTAACTATAAAGGTTCAAGTGATGTATTGAAAATAATTTTCTAACTGCTTTGTATGTATCACATACTCGAACTTGCACAGTAGGCGTGTTTCTTAAACAGATTTGGCTGGGAAAAGTCTCGAAATAGCTACTGACTTTACCGTCTCAGTGCTATGACTGTGTGTGTTTGGTAGAGCATACTGAGGTAATTAATCTCCTAATGAATGCTGATATTTTATTAGAATGAAAGCACAGATTAGCATTGATATTTTTTATCCTGGAGATCCTTTGGCGAGTATGACGAAGCCCCAACTTAGAAAACTATGAGATTTCAGACCACACCAACATGGCTGTTGCCCGTTTTCTTTTTTAGCTGTTAACCTAGGTGTCTGCAGTTCTGCAGGGGGCAGCTCTGCAGGACTGTGTAGCATGCTGTACGTACTTTTGGTTGAAATGGGCTCTGAGTCTAGGTGCTCGGAAATGCTCCTGATGTAATGACCGTGAGCAGCTTGTGCCGCATCTCAGCAGTGAAACCCTAATCTTACCCCCTTCCCCACATGGACCGGTCCGCCCCACTGGCCCCATGACTGACAGATTTACAGTCTCTCCTGGTGCTTATTTTAGATGAAGTCAAATCAACCCAATTAGTGTCTTGTTCGTAGGTATAATGAGCCTATTTCTTTCTTAAAAAAAAAAAAAAAAAAAGATTTGTGATCTGGACGTGCTTTTCCGAGCAACAGTGACCTTGGGGAATATGTAAACAAAAGACCGTTTTCTAAGGGTTGAGGGTGCGGGGGGACTGTGTCATGAAAAAGAATTAGCGGACAGGAAAAAAAATTGATATTCAAAGTATTTTAGGCAAAGCCAGTCCAAATGCTTTCATGATATTTTGAGATGTAAATTTTGTCTGATTTGTATTGTTCTTTTCATTTGCCTTCTTAACTTTCTATGTGACCTGAATTTTCCATAACTTGATGACTATAGATTGCATCTAGGCATTCCAATAAAAGCCAACCCGATGTGTGTGTGTTTATTTTTTTTTCCCCAAAAAATAATTCTCGGGCTAGCCAGCACTGCTTTTGTGTGTCAGCGGAGCGGAGGACGCAGATATATACAGTCGTTAGGGCAATGATTCATAGGCCACCCAGTTGGTAATAGCTCTTATTCTGTTTTCCATGTCCGTGTCCACTGGCCGGCCTGCCAGCTCAGCAGTGTGCACTTGGCAAGGGACTCCCCCATGGCCTGCTTTAGGAAAACACTAAATACACGCCCACACATTATCACTGGGAAGAAGAATACCAAATAATAATAACAATAAATACTGCCTGAGAGCAGGCTGGCTGTTTCTGTGATCCTGGCACTAAGTGCTTAATTGAAACACTTGATGAGAGCGATAGTCGGGGCCTGGTGGGCTCCCAGCCCAGAGACCTCTAAACCCACACGGAGACCAGGGCTTGGCTCTGCAGCTCCCGGCCGGCCGGCCGGCCAGGGCTGTGATTTAGTCTGGAAAGGCAGGTCCGTCACACTCGCTTTGTGGTGACAACCTCCACTTGATCACATGTTGATCCAGCGAGAATCAGGTCACTCCGCCTGGCAAACTGGTCTATTTGTTTTCTCGTCAAATTAGAGTTGAACAGGCTCAACCCGGGGAAATGCAGGAAAATGCATGTGAATTCCTACTCTCCTTTTCCACCGGGCTCTCTTCAAAAGCGGTGCCTGCACAAATGCGAAGAAACCCTGGAGGGAATCACTGTGTTTTAGGAGTGAGTGTTCTGGGCTGTCCTGCTGCCGCTCCCTGTCAAAGCCACATTCATCTGATGACAGTCCCCACCCATTACCAGGTAGTCGCGTGGGGTGTTAAGTGCCAGACCTGAACCTAAGCCCAACACCTACTATACACACCTGCGGTCCACCCCGGTCCCAAGCACTTCCAAGGATGAGGAGGCATGCTGCCTTTGATGCACTATCTTCCCTTCTCCTTTTGTCCGCCTGCTCCCAAGGGAGGCTGCTTTTCTCACAGGCTGACAGCAAATTGGCGGAGGTGCCTTTGAAATGGGGGACCCCAAAGGGGGAGCCTGGAAGGCGCTGGCCTACATCCCATCTGTCGGGGGCAGTGCTGACAGCAGCTCACCTGCTGTCACTCAGAGGAGGGGGAGGTCCCCTGGGACCAAGAACTGCCCCACCAGCCTAGGAGCCCACCCCCAGGAAGCCTTGCAGGGCAGCATAGCCTTACCCCTTCCACACACACACCCATCTACTCTCCGTCCCTACAGAGGAGCCAGCCGATTCCAGCACCCAGGGCAACGCATCAAGTTCTAGCAGTTGGCGCCAAAGGGACTTAGAGGAGTTAGGGTGTGTTGTCCGCGTTCACAGGCGGACGCAGCTCCAGCCGAGGCAAGTAGAGACTGCCTATCAGCAAGCACTTTCCATGGCGTCCTAGTCTAGGAACGCTTCCCAGGAAGCTCCCGGGACTCTCCTTCCCCACCCCGTTCCCCGGGAGCTCCAGGTCTTTCCAGAGCTGCCCTCAGGTAGAGCCACAACCTGCATGTAAAGAGGCCCCCCCATCTATTAACAGGGTGTGTCTTCAGGCCCCTCTGCCGCTGGGATTTCTAGCTCCTCAGCTGCCCCTTGCCCCCCCTCCCCATCTTGGATAAGAAAGTCTGCAATGCAATGCTAATGACCTCATAACATCTGAAAAGACTTCTAAAGCAGTGGTTCTCAACCTTGGCTGCACATTAGAATCACCTGGGAATCTTTTTAAAATCCTGATTT